GTTGAAGGCAGGTCTTGATTAAGCGCTCTAAGCAACTGGGATTAAACCATAGGACTGTAGAGTCTGGGAAGTAGTGGTTGCATGCAAGTTTTCATTTCAGAGCTCCTCAAACTAAGCCCCTCTTAAAACCTGACCTTCTTCCTCCAGCTCTCCTCTTCATGCTACAAGCCCACAGAATCTGCCAAAGTAGAAAACTAACTTATTAGTCACAGGACAGTTGGTGGCACACAGAGCATACTCCTGATGAATTTCTCTCTCTAGGTTATTTTATGGCCAGCTGGCCCACCCTCATGGTGTTATATGAGCGTGTTGCAAATTATAAAGTGTTCACACAAAGATACATTTCTCTCTCTTCCCCCCACACTCTGTTTTTATTCTGAGCTTGTTTAAATCTGTAGAGATAGTGTGGTGGGAAGGCTCCATCAAGGATCTCTATGCCTGCTTCTCGTTTGCACTGAAAGTCCCCATGGTGACATGAAGGAAGTTTAGTCTTAAATAGAATTCAGGCCTGGATTTCTTTGAGGGTCAGAGAGGTCTGTTATCTTTTCTTCTTAACATTTCTTTTGCACTACCTGCTTAAATACAATTAGTATTGCTTCTGTTTTGACAAGCTACACTCAGTAGTAGCTCAGATTACCCTCTCTGCAATTTACATTTGAGGAGTTTACTTGCGTTTAGTATTGCTTTATTAAGAGAAGGCACTGTAACTCACCTAAAAAACAGTGACAGGGATCCTGACCAATTCAATATTTTCATTTTGTCCCCCCTAAAAAAGGGGGAAAAAAAAAAAAGAGAAAAGTTCCCAGGCACCAAATTATGAAAAGCACAAAGAGAAACGCCATCTACTACTGCACTTCTTGACTCCTCCACTGAAAACGTAGCCACCACAAATTTGTTTTTTACACATCTGAATCAAGATCGGGATTTCCCAGTGTGTTTCTTCTTTTTTTTCTCCATAGTTTATTTTCTACTTTATAATGTAAACAAATAGACTTATTAAAATGTTTTAACTGTTTGTCAAATAAGGCAAACTTTTGTTCCCTTTTTTTTAAGTTAGTATATTCTTTGGAATCTTTTTTTGTTTTTGGTAGCATTATCTCATAAAAATACACATGTAAATTTAGTACAATCCATAAAAAGGTATCATAGACTTCAGCTATCTAGTATCTTTCATTTGTAAGGAGGATTTAGGTAGAGGGCAAGTTAATTAAAACCAGAATAGAAATGTGTTCTATTCATATGAGTCATATACCTCTGACTCACAAGAGAGTCTGTGCAGCTAATGGGTTAATTTGTCCTGATAACACAGAAAAAAATGAAGCTAGGGGTTATGACGTTGTTTGAACTGAGCGCTGGTTTCAGATAGTAGATGGTTTTTATGCAATTAAGAATCCAGATCTGCTAGTCAAGTGCCATTGCAAGCCGTTCAGAAAGATCTGGAGGTTCAGAAGGCTTGGGAATCCAGAACTGACACCTTTAATACTCTTCATTAAAACAATATGCACATTAAATCGTGTGAGCTACTGTCATGTAGATGAACGCATAAGTTACATGCATCTACCTTGTAATGCTGGCAATGTCCTCCCAGCCAATGGCCTTGCACCTCTTCAGGCTTCAATGAGCAAAGTTCCTCCATAGGCACCCTAACAAACCCACACGCTTACTTGCTTGATGCTGAACACTCAGATATCTTTACCATAGGCAGTATGGTAAGCTTTTAGACCAAAAGCCTTTGCACCTCCCCTGGGCCCTTTTTCCCTGGGGACTGGCATTCCACACAAGCCTCATCAGTACTTTCCTAGCTCCCCCTTTTGCACAACATTAAGAAAGGCACAGAAAGGGGAACCTGGGTCCTAATTCATACCTACCATCATCTTCTGTGTAAAGTTAAAGAAGCTCACTCACAGCTTTCCTCCTCCCACGTTCCTACAAGACTGTGAGCCTTTCAAGACAAGAGCTCTATCACAGCATGCGTTCATGGAGCTGCTAGCACAACAGATCCTGTAGGCATGGATATGAAACAAACAGCGATAATAAACACACCTGAGTTATATCTGCCTAAAAGCTAGTGCCAAGGTTGAAAGCAGACAGCAGCATTCTGCAACTCTGCAGGAGATTTAGTTATCTGATCCCCAAGGGCCTCACAAGAGAAGATATAAATTATCCTAGTTTTTCAACCCTCATGCAGGTGAAATTCTTAATGAATACATGAGTGGACAAGAAGCATATATCTTTTATGAGCTAATTTACAAAGAGACTATAAGGGATCTTTTGAGGAAAGTACCTTTAAGGTCGTAATGGTTTTGTGGGTATAATTATATAGGACATGCTAGGATGTGAAGACAACACAATGCAGGCCCCAGTGTAAATGTGACTGATGCTTCCCATGGCAATACAGATATATTTCAGTTAATTCAGTGTTCTGCTGGATAGGGGCCACAGTCCTCAGCACCTTGCAGGTTTCAGACTGTGCACAGGAACATATATACTCCCCTCCTTGCCTAAGAGCACTGTATTGGTATCCAACAAAAAAAAAAAAAAAAAGGAAGTTTATGTTAAAAAA